CACAAGCAGGTCATTTAAGTTCCGGAGATTAGAGGTTTTTCTAGAAATTGACATCCAAAGAAAAGGAGGAAGAGGGATGGATAAGGTGAAATGATGCTTGCTGAGAAAGTGAAAAGAAAAGAAAGAAGAAGCAAACCACACCAGAACACCCACCAATCTCACCCCCCCCCCCCCCCCCCCAACTACAGCGTCAAAACTAAGACAGAGACCACAGAGACTCACCAGGTTTATCCACCACAGCAGAATGTCGACGGCCGTTCTGGCAATACAGCTGTCTGGCTGCTCTTTTGACCAGAAAGACTGGAGTAAAGCACAAAACATACAAAAGGGTTAATAATTTGAAGGACGTAATTTTTGCTCTAAAATCTTCATAATGAGTTAGAACCACGTTCTGAGACATAATTGGAAAGAAAAACCGGTTTGAGAGTTTCAACTACTAGGATGGAAAGTGATACATCAAGAAGTTATATAAAATTTCAGCTTTTTTCTGCATTTGCTCACTGAAGTTTCATCAAAATATAATCATTGGTAATAATCATTTTATCTAAAATGTCATCTCCCTCCCTCCAACAATTGAAGATTGTCAATTGTTCACATGATGACTCATAACTTTTTTTTTTTAGGGGGGGAGGGGGGGATGTCACATATGTAAAAAAAAAAGCTGTACAACATTGCACAGATATCAACAGACATAAACAAATGCAAAAGAGGAGAAAATGGATCATCCATTAAGAAAACTGACGTTAAAATGAGGAAGGTTATTGATACTCCTCATGCTAATCACAAGCATAAACTATCAAATAAAATTATATAGGTTTGAAGTACCAAATCAAAGTAAATATTTGACTGGTGACATTGAAAACAACTTACCAAAAGAGATGAAAGAAAATGAAAACTTTGTTTTGCCTCTGCAAATATCTTCCCATGGCGATGATCTGAGTCAAAGTCAAAACTGGGATCACTGGCATAGGCCACGCCCACTTCCATCACCCAGTGTTCAACCTGGGATGATACAGAAACAAAACAAAATATTCCCTGTATAGGTAATAATAATAATAATAATAATAATAATAATGAAGATCATTTCTATAGCGCCCACTCCCATCTAAACACAGCTCTAGGCGCTTTACATAAATGCATGTACGAACAATATTCACGCACGCGACACACACACACACAAACAGGCACATACACACACACATACACACACACACGCACACACACACACACACACACACGCACATCTAACTTGCATATCGCACGCTTACACATCGTTACGAAATTACCTCATACAAATACATAATAAAATAATACGAGTATACACAATGCAATTAGCAAAATACAAAAATGGATACATAGTCATTTACATAATATTGTACAGCCAGTAAATCTACTGACATAAAAAAGATGTCTTTAAATGTTTTTAAAGATATTTTTAACTTGGGAGAAAATTCATACTGCTAATAGTATTGAATCTACTATGCGTGCTCATATTATGACCCAATGCAGTTGTGAGCGTCATAAAATTTTTACCAAACTAAAAATTAATCTACTCTCAGCGTTGAATTTGAGACTATGCAGAGGTAGAAAGTTACTGATTATTAATAAAATATATACCTGACGAACTCCTAAATTAATTGTTAATAAAACATGTACCACCTGAACTCTTAAACTAATTGTTAATCAAATATGTACCAACTGAATCACCAAACTAATTGTTAATCAAATATGTACCAACTCAACTCCTAAACTAACTGCTAATAAAATTAATACATACCAAGTGGACTCCTAGTCTAACTTTAAATGAAATTAATACATACCAAATGAACTCCTAAACAAATTGTTAATAAAACACATACCAACTCAACTCCTAAACTATGTGGGTGGTTGGCGGGTGCTCTGGTGTGGTTTGCATCTTCTTTCCTATCAAACATCTATCGTCTCTATCTCCCCTCCTTCTTTTTTATGCTTGTTACTCCCTTGTAACACTTCTAATCTTCTGGCGCTCATATGACCTTATGCAGTTGCGAGCACCGTAAAACATCTACTAAAACAAAAACTAACTGTTAATGAAATTAATACGTACCAAGTGAACTCCTAAACGAACAGTTAATAAAATACATACCAAGTGAACTCCTAAACTAAATTTTAATAAAACACATACCAAGTCAACTCCTAAACTAACTGTTAATGAAATTAATACGTACCAAGTGAACTCGTAAACTACCAACTCAACTCCTAAACTAACTGTTAATAAAATTAATACGTACCAAGTGAACTCCCAATCTGGAGCTCTTGTTCTCCGAGCTCAGGCACCAGCGAAACAGGAGCGAGTCCAGCGTTGACCACTTCTGTACTGGGCATCTGACCAGCTGACCACAGAGCCAGTGATCTAGAGAAAAGAAACCATACGCTTAATATTTTGCTGCATCATCTCACCGATTGGCAATGTTTACCACCCAGTTTCTTTGGATTTTCTCCAAAATATGATGGCAAAGTGTTAAAACAAGACTACAGTCCAGCACACATGTTATGGCGAAACCGGTGAGACGTGGAAATCTTTTTTGCTATGTAAGAATTTAGCAATGTATATGCATGAAATACAAAGTGTTTGTTTTAGTAAGCGTTTTACGGCACTTGCAACACTATAAGGTCATATAAGTGTCGAAGATTACAGGTGTTACAAAAGAGTAACAAACACAAAAAAGAAAGAGGAAGGATAAAAGGATGATAGATGTTTGATAGGAAAGAAGAAGCAAACCACACCAGAGCACCCGCTAACCACCCACATACAAAGTGTGTGCTTGCAATACAAAGATTATAATGTCTAAGAAAAAAATTTGAGACCTGAAAACCAGTTCGCTATGTACGCGGTCTCTACGGGTGTGTGCGTGCTAGACTGTCTGTGTAATAAGAAAAACAATGTCTCGCACAATAGGTGATTGTGAATTTATTAACGACATCAAAGAGTTCTATATTTGCTTGTGTGAGTGTGTGTGTGTACATATGTATATATGTGTGTGTGTGTGTGTGTGTGTGTGTGTGAGAATGTGTGTGTGTGTGTGTGTGTGAATGTGTGTGTGTGTGTGTGAATGTGTGTGTAGGTGTGTAGGTGTGTGTGTGCGTGCACATGTATGCATGTGTTTGTGTGTGTGTGTGTGTGTAGATGTCGTGTGTGTGTGTGTAGGTGTGTGTGTGTGTGTGCGTGCACACGTATGCATGTGTTTGTGTGTGTGTGTGTAGATGTGCGTGTGTGTGTGTGCACATGTGTGCATTTGTGTGTGTGTGTGGTTGTTTGTGTGAGAGAGTGGGTGCAGGTGTTTGTGTTCGTTTGTGTGTGTGTGTGTGTGTGTGTGTGTGTGTGTGTGTGTGTGTATTTCTACATGTGAGCAGATCCCTCTATCTTTAAAAAGAAAGAAGAATCAAACTAGCTATGTTTTATCCACTGAAGTAACAACACTATACAATAAATTCCAAAACTCAATATCCAGATGTCCAGGAGAAAAATAAACTTTCAACAAAATTCAAAGCCAAACAATTGAGCAACAAAATGAGAAATCATTTGGAAACATCTTGGACATCACAAACAGGTACCTAAATCTTCCAAGATGAATATATCAGGTTCCGTGAGGTCAGCCTTAGAGGAAAGACAGGATGTAACAAAACAACGATTTTTTAGAACAACTTAGGTATATTCAATCCATGCTTACTAATACAAGCATTACATACAAAATTAACATCATCAACCCCCCCCCACCATTTCCATTCTACCTTGAAATGATGATTCAGAATACAATCTTGAACAGGCAGAGGTGGCTGCTAGCGTAGGTTTGACTGTATACCCAATGACACAATGAAATCTCCTTAATAGTTAGCTACCTTTAATATTAGTGCAAAGACGGACGATAACTTTTACCCTCAAAAAGGCTAACACATCGATCATCACTTTCAATAAGGGTCAGCTTGCAGAATTATTCTGGTGGAAAGATCATCATCATCATCATCTACTAAAGAACTCCCCTTTTTCTTGTTTTGTTTTTCTTGTTTTATTCTTCTTAAAACATAACAATTTGCACCATTTCAACACATTTTTACGTAACTTACAAATATCGGCACCGAGATCAGGACAGGTGGAAAAGAAAAAAAAAGAAAATTCTTGTGTGAAGCACTAATAAATAACCTTCAAAGACAATGCCCTATATGAAAGTCACCCACACAGAGGTTCCGACCACGAGCAACTGGAGCAGCTTGCAGCAAAAAGGGGGTTAATATGGCACTTGATAAAGAGACACACGAGACAAAAATAGAAAATAAAAGTGTGCGGTTGGCGGGAGCTCTGGTACCGCTTGCTCCTTCATTCCTATCAAACATCTAGCGTCCTTATCTTTCCTCCTTCTTTTTTGTGTACGTTACGCTCTGGTTACAACTCTAACCTTTGGCACTTATATGACTTAATTGTGTTGCAAGTGCCATAAAACTCTTACAATAAAAAAAGGAGAAAAATGTTTTTTTAAAGATCCTACTCCTTTACTGATCCACTCTGCTTCTCTTTACTCAAACAAACAAAGAGCGCCGTAAAACACTTACCAATACAAAAACCCCAAACAAACGCAGACTTACCCAGGTGAGGCTATACAGGAAAACAAAACTCTGAACGGCATCCGCCTCCAGATGAGCAGCCATGTCAGGACAGACCACGGCCACTTTGTGCAGTACGCCAAGCATGTCCTCCGTCTCGACAACTCTAGTTAGTAAAGCAATGCATAAAATGAAAATAAAAACATTTCACTGATGCCTCAAAGATATCAGTAACAACATATAATATTATCAATGAGCTGTTCAGATGTTAAAGCACAGGTGGTTGGCGGGTGCTCTGGTGTGGTTTGCTCTTTCTTTCCTATCAAACCATTTATCGTCCTTATCTGTCCTCCTTACTTTTATGTATGTTACTCTCTTGAAACACATAATCTATTCTTCAGCACTTATATGATCTTATTGTGTTGCAAGTGCCGTAAAACTCTTGCAAAAAATTAAACTAGAGAAGACGTAAAAGCCAAAACAAAAATTTGAATATTTTTTCTACAGTAGTTTCTTAATCTGCAGTGTCAGTTGCATGTTCTCAAGAAATATTTTCTCGGAATTCAAATTCTGAAAGTTGAAAAAAGCAAGAAAAAAATACATAATATTAGTATAATCGTTCAAAGAAGGGAGCAGTTTTATTTTTTGGCCATCTTGGACAATTTCCATAGTACTTTGTCTGCTGGATAGACTAAGGTGACTTTATCCTTCAAGGGTTAAGAACTATGTTCAAGCAAACGCATGTTTCAGCGCAGAACAATACAAACAGTACCTACCGACACCCAAGCGTATACGACACATGTAAAAGACTTCATGAATCATCTCTATCTGACCGGTAAAAAAGCAAACAGTGACAAACTACGTCAAGAGTACGATAATGCAGAGAGTATCTACCGAAACCCAAGCGTGTACGACACGTGTAAAAGAACCAGAGCCGTCACTGTCTCCTCCTCACGGCACAGACTTCTCTCCAGCTCACCAGGTTGCTCAGGACTCCCTGAAAAAAACCAACAAAAAAACAAAAATCTCAAAAAAATAAACAAAAAAGGAGCTTATATTTACATAAAATATTCTTTGATGGTGAAATTGATTTGAACAGCAGAGGTGTTTTAAAACAAGTTGGTGAGCAGAAGATATAATAAATAATTTTTAAAATATTTAGAAACTCAGCAATATTTTTTTCCCTTTCAAACCATAGAGGGGATAAGTCCCCAAAAGTAACTTGTATTATATTTTTTTTTAATTATTTGTGTATGTGTAACTAACTGTAACGTTGTATAACACTAGCGAATGTTCCAGAATGGTTTTTTAACAACTTTTGTATTGACGGGAAGTAAAAGTGTTTTGTTTTTTATCACTGACGCTGTGTCATTAACTCATATTGCCCGTTTACAAGCATGGTTGCGGTCTGAAACAGGCTCATTGCGGAGAGAGCTCGAATGCTCACAAGGAAATGAAAGTGGATCACGGATATAGAACAAAGCACCTGCTGCAAATTAGCAGGACCAGAGTTAATCATAAATACACAAAATCTTCCTCTTTTTTTTATTCTAAGAGAACAAGAATGTGATTAATATGAGCTTTAAAAAAAGAAGAAACCCCCCGGCATGTCTAGAAGTGCAAGGAATGCATGAAATTTTGTTTAAAGAAAAAAAGAAGAAAGAGGTTTTTACAACGAATGTGCATGAGTCCGGCTGCAAGGAGTTGCTCATCACATGACATCAGCAGCGACATTGACTTGCCCACTGTCAGTAACAACTCCGCCAAGACACGACTGGCCAAAATTTTTACTGATTCAGGCACACTGGAAAAAAACAGGTGAAACATGTAGAAAATGTATTTCTAAAGTAGGCGTTTTCATGCACTCATTAAGACTGTTTAGATAATTTAGGAGGCGGGTGTCAGGGTCAACCCGAGCTGGGAGGGGTACAACATCCCATCCGAAAGACCGTAACTCAATAAAAATTCATTCCTCTTGAGAATTGAACTCAGGTCTCCGGCATGCAACAGCGAAGCACCTAACCATGACACAAAAGATGATGACGAAACACATATTATAATAATAATAATAATAAATAATAATGATTAAATGTGTAAGTATTGTGTTCACTCCACATCATTGTTGCAAATCGTCATACATCTTTTTGGCATACAGGTGGGGAAAGGGAGGGAGGGCGGCAAATAAGAAAGAAAATTGAGGAATTAATAGAAAAGGTACCGCGTTTTTCTAAGAACAGCACAAAAATGGAGCCATACTTACCTGGGAAGTGAGAGGAAAGAAATAACCTTCCACGGCACACCAGAAGCGATTAAATCGCGACTCTCAAAGGGAGCGGTTCCGTGCCTCAGTTGCACATTAACGACAGAGAGAAACTTTTCAAGTATCACATGATCCTTTAAGCACCACCAGTTTACCTGGAAAAAAAAAATGTTGGAAACAAGATTTCATGAGGATTTCCATCTGACCACTAGATAAACAGTGACAATATGCTAGGAATACAATTATGAGGAAAGTACCGACTGTTCGGGTTCGAGCCTCGGTTCGGACACAGATTTTTTTCGCAACTCCTGCCCACCCAGCAGTGATGGGTACCTGACTTCAAGTTGGGGAAGTAAAGGCGGCATGGAAAGGAACTGTCCATCCTACCACAATAATATGCCGAAGGCCTAGGAAGTTGTCTCACTAATAAGGAAATCCCCATTGTCTGGATCGGATGCGGGAACCACTTTACTTTTTACCTACTGAAACCCAAACATTTATGACATTCGTAAAAGACTTTATGAATTATTTTGACCAAAACCAATTAAGAAACAGTGACAAATTAAGACAAGATCAGAATTGTGCAGACAACCTACCGGAACCCAAGCATATATGACACATGAAAAAGACTTTATTAATTATTTCTATCGGACCAATAAAGAAACAGTGACAGCCTATACAGAGAATATGATAATGCGGGCAGTACCTACCAAAACCCAAGCGTACATGACACATGGAAAAGAATCAGAACAGTCACTGACTTTTCCTCAAGGCACTTTGTCAATTTTAATAAGCCAGGAAAAGTTTCGAGCAAAGCACTTTTGGAGTTTAAACTAGGAAGAAAAGCGCGCTTTTTTTCTATAAATTCTCTGATATACTGATGACATTGAACTCTTAAAAACAATAACAAATCAATAACAGCAACAGCTTCTTAAACTAAGAATAAATTAAGAAGAAAAGCTTTTTTCTACCCAAAATCGTCTCATATGCTGACCCCTCCGAACTCTTAAACGTGACAACAAATCAATAACAACTACAGCTTCCGGTGTTAAACTAAGAAGAACTATTTTTTTTTCAACACATAAATTGTCTCATATGCTGACACCTCCGGACTCTTAAAAAAAGATAATTAGTCAATACCAGTGACAGCAAAGACACTCACCTTGACCCAGGGTAGAACTATCTTGCTGATCAGACACTGCAGCGAGTCTTTGAACTCTTTGACCACCTCAGCTTCATTTCCGCACAGATTTCTGTCTTCAGCAAGCAGCCTGGAGATGTTTCAACTGAAAACTGACTCTCCATAACTCCCTAACATCAGTATACTTTTGACATCGGATATTTTTACAGAAGAAAAGGAAGGGGGGGGGGGGGGGGGGGAGGGAGCAACAGAGAGACGAAGACAGAAAAATCGAGGAAGGAAAGTATATAGAAAGGTAACGAGTGTTGGACAGGTTTGACTGTATCTTTATAAATTGAAGAAATTATAACACTTTGAGGCCACCTGCACTGCCTAAAAAGATTTCCAGTCACCAGGAACATTTGGTCGCTTTTACGCACAAGGGGGCTATACCGAAATATGCTGTTTTGAGAAAGTCGAAGGTAAAGTTTTTTTCCCTTTGTTCAGTTTCTTTAAAAGACAAGGAGAGTTTTCTCAATAACTAAACAGATATACAACCAATAAAACCAAACTTTTCCTATAGGTAGGGCAATGTCCACTTTTCGTGTAGGTCAAGATTTCAGGTAATCCCCCCAAAATGTGGGTTAACCCGTTTGTCCTTAAAAGCGATCATTCACCAAAGTACTCCCTCGAAGCACCAGCTGACCTAGAGTAATGTCTTCATCTTTAAGTTACTTGCTATTATAATGAGTACTGAACAAGGAGGTAAGAACCTCAAAACCTACAAACGTAAGTTCATGCCAGAATGATGTTATGTTATGACCCGGCAGAAGATATTTGGAGATGTCTCCCGTGAGCACCCAGGAACTATTCGGAGACGCACTCCCGCACACAGATGCACTGCTTTGGGCTGTCAAACTGCGTATTGTTCGCTGAAGATCACATATATAGCCACTAAAACTTCCGCAAATCAATTATTTTCAAGAAAATTTCAAACTTAACTGCAAAATATGAAATTATGGGTTAACCCCCCCCCCCCCCGATTTTTTTACTTGATCAAGAGACACAGAGTATTTTGATTGGTCTATCTCCACCAGAGACGTCTCCGAATAGATACTGCACTCCTAAATACTTAGTCATTACAACTTTTTCTCATAAAATCATTCATCTTTATAATTAGTCTTGAGTGTGTTTTTTAGCCCCCACATTGTTTCACTGTACATCATAGAAGAGACAGTGTACTACGACCTCTACCTGCTTGCTGCGACAACGATATCCATGACTTTGTGCACGACAAACGTGACCTCGGCACCTTCTGTGTTAGAGGAACCAAAACATGCGTGGTCTGCGGCGGCCATGACTGCCTTCATTACAGACCCGAGTTTGTGAACGTTGACGGGAGACAGCTGATGTTGTGGTCTGACGAACGATTGGAAAACACACAAGATCGGTTTTACTTTTATCCACATAGCTATGGTCAACATGAAGACATCTAACAGTATGTCATAATAAAGAACAACAAAGAGTACATTACAATTCATTACGAGATGAGTTCGGTTTTTACGCACATATCAATCCCAAAATTTCACATAGAGGTCCCCCAGCATAAACAGACAACACTTTATACAACTAACTACAAAGTACAACAAATACAGTCCTTCATAATATAATGAATGATGTTATGTCATGAGCTAAAGAATCAACCCCAACCCTCCCAAATACTTAGTCATTACAACTTCATAAGTCCTTCATAATATACTAAAACAGACAACACTTCATACAAGTACAAAGTAGCCTACAACAAATAAAGTTCTCCGTAATATACTAAAACAGACGATAGCCTGTGTCTGATCTCGCCTCACCTGAAAAAAGTGGCAGCGCAGTGGAAAGCCAGATGTGTAATATTCGAATGCTTCAGGCCGAGAGTTCTCTCAATGATCTGACAGCTTTGTTGCCACGACTGACTGACAAAGAGCGGCATGTTCTCAGGCTGTCTGGGGATATCAACGTAGGAAAGAAGTTCAACTGAGTCAAAAAGGACAAAGTACAGTTGAACCTGTCCAAGAGGACCATCTGTTGTCGGAGAAAAGTGGGCAGTTTAAATCTGTCCCCGTCTTTTTATGCAAGAAAAATTATGAAATTATGCAAACTTAGCCCAAAATTGTGAAATTATGTGATTTTGTTAATTTTAACAAAGAATTATAAAGGAAAATAATCAGAAATGCCAAAAATGATCAAATTTTGCTAAATTATGAAGGGTGCATAAAACGACGGAGACAGTTAAACACATGGTCTTCTTAAACAATGTCATTATTATAATAATATATTTTTTTTTAAACACAATGGGGACAAAGTACAGTTGAACCTGTTGTGTTGTTTGTACAGGTGATTGTCTCAAACAGGTTCCAGTGTATTTTATTCAGTAGCTTGATCTGTAGCTCATACTTGTAAATAAGGTGTTGGCAGCCAAAAGAAGTACTTTGTCTGTCACTGATAGGATATCAGTCTATACAGATGCATTCAAGATCTGAAGGAATGGATTGTAAGAAGAGATTTTAGAAAAGAAAGAACAAATGATGGTAAAATTTATTCATAAAAAGATTTAAAAAAGTAGAACACAGTCATGAGGAGGGTTGGCCATAGGTAGCAACAATCAACTGGACAACTGTTTTTACTTACATTTACAAGAACATGTTAAAGATTTTTTTTTTTTAAGAAATAGATCAAGGCCAATCAAATGCTTAGTGCAAGACTCTGCCAAGAACCATTTTGAAAAGTGACATGAGAAGTGGAAATGGAGATCAGCAAGTTGTGAGGTAATCTGCTAACCTTTCCAATATTTCCTTGAACAAAGTCAGTCCTTCCTCAGCGGTGCCAAAGTTCTCACAGTCAAGTGTCTCTCTCAGAGCTGCCAGGCAAGAGTCGATGCCTAAGAGCAAACATTTTTTTTTTTTAAAACAAAAAAAACCCAGGCAGGAAAGGAGGCGAAAGGAGACAATTTTAGAGAAGAAAATTTTTCGGTCGCTACCCGGATTTGAACCCGGGACTTTTGAATGAGAGGCAAACACCTTAACCTCAAGGCCACGAGAGCCCCCCCCCCCCCCCCCCCAGTATTGTTAGTATACACTTATCTTATCTATATTATATCTTGTGGAATATCAATATCCACAGTAAACGCAGACAAAGCTGTAAAGTTAACTCCAACCAATCACCCTCACCATAATAGGAAATAAATAGCCATTATCATGTTGATATGCAGCTCCATATTTTCAATCAAATCAACACAACATGACACCCCCCCCCCCACACACACACACACAAACACATACACACAACAAAAAATTTAATCTATAGTTTAGCCACACAAATTTTGTTCATTTGCGACCATGATATAGTTCAAATAGCTGTGACACAGTGACTACTTTAAACAATGAGTGGTAAAACCCAGTGTTCGTTAATTGCTTCAGCGTGCTCCTCTGAGAATAAACAATTCTTTTTTTTTTTTACAGTTAAGTTAAGCTAATATAAAGTTAATTTCATTAATAAGTTTCTTCTCCTACTTAATATAGCAATCCATGTGGAAGCTATACTGTTTCAACTTTAAAAAGGTGAATCACCCCTTAAAATTGTTACCCTTTAAAGATCAAAGCCTACAAATTAAAAAAACCCAAAAAACTATCTGTATCAACTCTCAAGACAAGAAGTCTCATACCATAAACAGCATGACATTTCTCATAAAACGCCTGGTGCTGAGCCATGGAAAGCAGACATCGGAAAACAGTGCTGTTGAGAAAAAGAGAACGTTGTAATATAAATATTCATCCATCGATGTCTCACAATGACATAATAATATGGATGCAGATGAGAGATTTTTAATAGAGAAATATAAAAAAAAAAAAGGGTGATTTGTGGCTCCTGCGCTATGGTCAACGAGACCAATTCTGACACAGAGACTGTAACAATAATAGCACTATAGTTCTGGATCCTGCGTTATATCTGCAAACTTTTCCCTCTGATAGCTTTTTCTGACATCAAGAAGTACGGCTTCTAAATCGAAATCTATATCACCAATATCTGAATCTTTTGTCTTCTTGCAATTCATGCCTCGATTGCAAGTCGAGAATGACATAAAGATCTATCACAAGTTAAATCTCATGTTCAACAGTTACATACATAGAATTTCTTACATATAAAGAAACATTTATTGCAGTTATTGTTACTGCACAGGATAGCATTAATCATTACCACAAAAAATACAACAACAACAACAACAAAAACAAAAACACCAAGAAAACAACTGATAATAAGAATAGGAAGACCAAGAAAAATGTCCAGCAGAAATCACTGACAGAATTTAACACCATACCTGAGCAGTAAAGAATTCTTCGTGTGCAGGGACTCAAAGACAAACTCTGAAACATTGACAACGTTTTGGGATTAGTCACATAGCAGACAACAAGATTCCAATGACTTGAGATTCATTTTTTTTTTTTTTTTTAAAGGCTTTTCAAATCTTCGTACAAAAACAATGAAAGCAAGAAAATGTCCTTCTACAACCACGGTACAACATGAACTTCATTGGTTGAATTAATGACTAGTTCATGGTCTAATAGTCCTGCAACATCATGTTTGAAAAAATACATTGATCAGTACCACTGACCTAAATAGATGATCAGTACATTAGGCAAATATATATCATGCATCACCTGATACCAAAACGGTCTTGCTGATACCCGAGACCGTAATTTATACCAAAACTGTCTTTGCTGATACTGTATTTTAATGTATCTGGGTGTGCCTGGCGTCAGAGGTAAACTGAGCCAGAAAATGGCTGCTGAATTAAGTTTGGTGAATTCCAAAGCTCGAGTGCCATTGGAAACTGGAAACGACAAATTTACAATTTTTGTGCCTTTCATCAACGTTTGTCAGCAAAATCCGCACAGGTATTAATTGTTTTTAAATGGACACAATTAAAAGGTTTTAAGCCCAGAAAAAAAAATTGATAAATTGCCCAACAGTTGGAAAAAATGTCAGTTTCTTCCATTTCACTATTTTGACGAGCGCTTGATTTGACCCTATCCGTACGTCGTGTTTTACAATCGTTTCCATACGCACGACGTGGGGAACTCTGTGCCACCACTTTCCAATGAGGAAATTTACTCGTTAATCCGATCCATATGCTTTGCATAGCAGTCTGTCAAAATGATTTTTTGAGAAATACTGAAAGTTTCAAAGAGATGTTCGTACTAAACGTATTCTAAAATGTGAAGAATATACATTGTATATACCACCCCAAGGGTACAAAATGACCCAAGGCGTACGGATAGGGTTAACCACGATGCCACAAAAGATACAAGTGCAATACCCGCTAGATCTGTGGCCATAATATCCCTGGACTGCTGTACATCTTCCGCGCTGGACACTACGACATATAGACACTGGACTCCCAGGAGCACAAGCTCTTCGTCTTTTGTAGTCAGAATTTTCTTGAGCCCCATGAGAAGAGTGGGATCTCCTGGCACGTCCCGTCCCACGTGAATCAGGATGCTCCGCAGATCTCGTGACCGTAGGGTCTCTTTCAACAATCCTGTCACCACAAGAGGAGGACAAGAAGGATTGGGGGGGGGGGTATATTATGAAAATATATACACCTTTATCATCATCTATATAGGAAGCAAAATGTTGTGGACATATTACATGTACTTCGAAGGATAACTAAAAGACATTAGGTTGCTCTACCAATAATGGATTTTCATAAAGTATATATTGTATATTATGAAGTGTACACCTTTATCACCCTCTATTTATGTAGCAAAATCTTGTGGACATAATATTACTTCGAAGGATAACTAAAAGACATTAGCTTTCTCTGCCAATAATGAAATTTCATCTTTTGTTTTTCCCTATATTTCTATGTTGCATATTTCACAAACGAATGGAAAACAGTACCAACCTCTGATCAGCAATAAGAAACTTCTATTGAAGCAACAAAAGACCCATAGATTCAGAGCTTATCAAAATCCTCATAGTAAGGAACAGATCAGTATTAAAAAAACAGACAACGATGTGAACAGGACATCAAAGTAAGCGAAACACTTTTAGCGTCCGACAATTCTCACTCACTTAAACACGCTCTGTGAAAGTCCCGTCCCAGATCGCCATCATTGAGCCACGGGATTTGAGCCTCTGCAATCTTCCACACAAAGTTTTCCACGTCGGGTGGCCATTCTGCGTCTTCAGAGCAGAACACGGCCATTACGTGCGTCAGCAGCTGTACAAAAGTCTTCCTGATCGTCTTCGACAAAGTACCACTCACTGCCAGTATCTCAGACAGTAGGTGAGCTAAAAGATTTTTTAAAAAAAGGGTTTTTAAAAATGAAAAGGTATTTGCAACAGGATCAACAACAAAAAAAGAGAAAGAAAGAAAGAACAGTATCTCAGACAGTAGGTGAGCTAAAAGATTTTTTTAAAGGTTTTTTTAAAATGAAAAGGTATTTGCAACAAAATTTATTTTTAAAAAGAAGAAAGAAAAAACCAATGGAAAGGTATTTGCAAGTCATCAGTCGCATTACCAATAAATCTCCTTATAAAGTTCTAAAACCTGTGTATTAGTCACGCCATGAAAAGTGAAACTGCAGTGAAACACGTGACGCAGGCTGGGGATGATAACAGGCTGAACAAAAAATATAAGTAATGATAGCACAGCAATTCTTTATCTCCATCTTTTTTTGTTGTTGTTGTTGTTGCTAGAAGCATCTTTCCTCTACATTGTAACATGTAACTGACATTGAATTAATCAATAGGAATCCACAGACGCTTTTGTATGCCTGTATTAATTTCATCAAAAATCCACTGACACTTTTGTATGCCTGTATTAATTTCATCGAGTAACTTGATCTTTTTGCTCGGGCGCCATATTCCATTCTCTCTGTGTTGGCCTAGATAGCCAAAAGAACCCTGGGGCCTCGTAAATGATCTGAATCATGTCAAAGGAGCCAACACAGTTCAGGTAAAAGGGACAATTCCAGTCCTGTGACTACTCCACAAGTGTACAATTGTCAGCGTTTGATCAGTGCTTACTTTACTTTATTTTATCCGTCCTCTTTGTACCTCAATGGCGCTTGGGGAGAAAGAGCTTCCTGTCTCTAGCAAGTTTGATGGCTTGGCTGGGTGGGATATTGTATGTTCTCAGGGTATCCTTCACATCCAGGTCTTTCTTGGTCTTCCTTTTGCCTTGCACCCTGATACTTTTCTGCACTAGGCTTTACTGGCAAGCTGGCGATGTGCCATACGTGTGAGATGTCCAAACCACCCGATTGTTTGCCTTCGAATGTAGTGGAGGACAGGTGTTGTTCCCATCATTTCTCTGATCTTGGTGTTTCTGGCAATGTCCCGTCTGGTTTTGTTGACGGTTCTCCTTAGACATCTCATCTCGCAGGTGGTTATCTTACGTTCCAGACTTTTGGTCAAGGTCCGTGTCTGGAACTGGTAGGTCAATGTGGGAATGAAGAATGAGCTTGGCTTTGGTCTCAAAGGGGATGTTCGGGTGTTTGAGAAGTGGGACAAGCTGGTAGCTGACGCTGTATAGTCTTTGTACTCTCCTGTCAGTGCAAGACCTGTAAATGTGGCCGAGTATTTGCCTCTATGTTTTGGTTGAGCCAAAAAGTGTTATTTTCATCCTTCCAAGAAGAACTCAGTACTGAATGTTACCACATTTTGACAGGAGCAGCATTTATCATTATAATCATTTATACATCAGGCATTTGATGCAGGAACTCTGTAACCAACAGCGAATCGTAGCTCACTCACTACCTTGGATGTACATATCGAGCAAGTCTAAAACGGGCTGGCAGAGAGTGAGTTTATAATTACATAGGTTCTTTTTTCAGTAATAAACCTGCATAATATAATAAAGAAAAAGTAGTTTCTTCTTGACAATATTCCAAAAGTTATTCTTGCACCAGTATTCACCTACATGAACTTACCTTGGCAAAGCATTAAAAATTTGGTGTTGCCCGCATCAATGTCACATTGTCGATTCATCACCAAAAGGCAAAATTGAATGGGTTCCTCTTGTCGTTTACAATGCACCTGGAATAAAATACAAATTAGACATTGAGGTACTGTTGACTTGCTGACCACAGATCTTGGAAGAACTAGACATAAGTTGCATAAACGTAATAAAAAAAAAGAGCTGGCAACACACATTTTCAGTCATAAAGCTTTAGGTAATAATAATATTACTAAGTGGGGGGGGGGGTGACCCCTCATTAAAACAGACACCAGGGATATCTTTCCTGCCTAGCTTCATAAAGGCTGACTGTTTCTGAATAAAAATGATATCCCCTTATGGGAATGAGTACGTCTCTTCAACCAAAAATTCACTTCTAAACACAACTGCAATTTTCCGCATTAAAAAAATGTACGATTTTTTGCTGGAGATTGACTTAATCACTTAATGATTACGGTACTTATCATTTAAAAAGATGCTTTGCAATGTCTCTTCCTTTAAACAGGAACAGAGTTGCTGTCAGTTTGAGATACTTACAATGTCATAGCACTTCTCCATAAAGTACTTCAGAACCCTCTCTTCTTGGGTCGCACTAATCACAAAGGTAACCACTGCGGACAGAAACAAATAATGATACATGGTAACATTTTTTCTCAATCAAATTCCTGTTTGAACAATAAAGAGTCTTCATGAAATAATACCTTTGTTTGTATACTGAGTTCTTGTTTCGTCTCACAAGACCCCCTTTAAAGTTTACACCATTTATTGCTAAAAGTACTAGCCCCTTAAAGTGAAGAAGTTGCAACGAAAAGAGTAAAGAGGAACAAACACCCCCTCCCCTCCCCCCGACCCCCCAAAAAAACCCACCAGGGATTTGAATTTGAAATCCTTTCATGTTTAAAGGGATTTTGTGTTACGCGGCTAATTGTGTTATACATACAAAATCTACTTAACCCTACCCGTACGCGCTGGGGTCATTTTGTACCCCCGGGGTTGTATTCTTCACATTTTAGAATACTTCGAGTACGAAGATCGCTTTGAAACTTTCAGTATTTAAAAAAATATATTTTGACAGACTGCTATGCAAAGCGTACGGATCGGATTAACGAGTAAATTTCTTCTTTGGAAAGTGGTGGCACAGAGTTCCCCACGTCGTATGGATACGATAGTAAAACACGACGTATGGATAGGGATAATGTATGTTTCTACACTATAAACAATTTGCGCTGCGGTCACGTAGAAATAAATCAAGCAAATCTGTAGATATCAGACATCAGAGAGAAACAAACCAGCGACTGCCAAGTCGGTGTACGGCTCATTGTAGTACACGTCTGGGAAAACAGGAAAAAGAAATGAAAGAAATGTATTAGAGATTTCAAACCTATGACTTAATCTCTCGCATTAACTTTACCAAAACACATCTAGAACTCCAAGATCATAAAGAGAGAGATGGGGGGGGAGAGAGAGAG